GAGCGAGTAAGAGCATGTCCGACGATGTCGCCCTGCCGTCCGAACCCTCGGACAGAGAGGATTTGCCTCGTTTTTGTCCCCAATGCCATCAAGTCCTCACACCCTCCCCGATTTACTTGGTCAGTTGTTGCTCTGATCACGGGGACTTTTCGCGGTGTCTATCGTGCCGCACTACCATCAAAAATAAATCCAAAGGCTTTTCCCGTCATGACATGACGCCCATCACTCGCTACTGCTCTATTTGCAAACCGCAACAGAAAGCACGGCAACATGAACTTTGCGACCTCTGTTATCTCCCACGCCATCTTCATCATCACACGTTAGCCCATTCCTTTGTCTATTTTGACTAGGTTACACGGGGTCGGGGTTCAAAATATGACGAGATCTCCCGGATTCCGTGCTTCTTGCGATAGTATTCATACCCACGCTGCTTGCTAGCTGCCTCTAATACCGCGGCATGTCGATCAAACACTTGTTGCGTCTGCACCCGTTGACCCAACAAGTCCATGAAACTCACAATCGGGTTCTGCACCTGGTGCCGCAAGTAATACAAGGCATCAAGTCGTAAGCCCTGTTGCATCGCATACTCTGGATCCTCCGACCGCTCTGAAATATCCTTGGCGGGATCGCCCTCCACAATCACGTAGAAAAAGCGGTCTCCGACCGCCGGTGCTGACCCGGGATCCCGTCGGGCCATGCGCCGCGCTAATTGCACATGTGGCAGCTTGTCGGAGGCATACTTGGCCGCCAACTTGGCCGAAACTTGGAGTTCTTCCCATGGGACTTGTTGCATCCGTAATTCCAATAGACGCGTGTCGATGAGATCGAGGACTTTGGGCAGGCCGTCAATGCGATGTTCCAACAGAATCTCAATGATCGATTTGAGCAGTGTTTTGACAAAGATGCCGTAATTCCGGCGCTTCACCACATTTCCTTGGTAGGTCACTCCCACCGGACGTTCCGGGTCCTGCTCGTACTTTTGGCCAATGTAGTTCTTCTTCTTTTGGATGAAGAGAGGGTGAAAGGTCTTTTCATACTCGATGCGGATGGGAGCGCGGTTGAACACTTGCTGGGTGATGACTTGCTCCGCTTTTTGAGCCAGGCAGATCACTTCAGCTCGAGTCAGTCCGGGAAAGTGACTGAATATACTGTCGGTGTCTCCCGCAACCACCGTAATATTCAGAGGCCGTTGCACCCATTGCTCCCGCAAAGCCATGGCTGGAAATTCGTTTTCCATAAAGTCCTTTGTGCGCTCAATCATTTGTCGGCCTTTGGCTGTGACCGAGGCCGCCAATGCCGGGAGTGGCAACTTGAAGGCTGAAGTGAAGCCATAAATGGAGTTCATGGAGACTTTGATGGCAAGTTCTCTTCCGGTCAAGACCCGCACTTTTAAATCCAATTCAGCTCGTTCCGCGGGATCGGTCGTTTGGGCCAATTTGGGTTTGACGACGTGGTCTCGTTCGTACTTGACGGCTTTACGCGCCTTCACCAGAGACTGTTGCAATTCCGGGATGACCGACGACACCTTTTGCGCAAATCGACAGGTGATGCGCTCGCCGTCGTCATTGTCCCACTCGATATCAGAATATTCGACTCCGGGACAGTGACCGTACCGTGGATCCATCACCAGAGTCGAATAGCAGATATTGTAGGCCATCTGAATGCTGGGATACAGACTGGCAAAATCCAACACAGCTACGGGATCCCAATAGGCCCCGGTCTTTGGTTCAATAACCAGAGCGCCCTTGAACGTCGCCTTCTCCCGGTTCTCAATGTCGGGAACCAAATATCCACTGGCTTGAGCCCGTTTGGTGATCAACGAATACACCTTGATTTGCTGGCCCTTGGTTTGCAAGTAGGTCATCGGCACCGACGTAATGTTGGCCATTTCCACCAGTTGGGTCACCACATTCAATTTGTCGACGAGCAGCTGGACCAACACGGTGTCCTGCACACAATACTTGCCCACCGTCGCAATGCCCGCCGGATGCGGGTTGCGGTAGTGCGCAAAAATCTCTTTTGCCGTCACCGGATTCTTGTTCATACCCAGCTTGCTTTCCGCAATCGTGTCCAGCTTGTAATTGGCATACTGCTCATTCCCGCGTTGCACAAATATCAATACATCCAGGTTCAAGCGTCCCGGAATGTGCACCCGCTGAAAGACATTGTCACCATAGGCATCGGATGAAAAGGTCTCCTCTTTCAGGGGACAAGGGTGATGTCGCAGCCGCGATATCTTGCCAAACACAGTGTCCATTTGCAGTCGCTGAGCTCGTTTGTATAGGTAATTCCAGTCAAACTTGTCGCCATTGTAGTGGTAGAGAATATCCGGGTCGAAATCGAGGATCATGTCCCGGAAGGCCAACAACAGTTCGGTTTCTGTTTGAGTCTGAATGACTTCGATACCTTCCATCGGAGCACATGGGTGCTGCAAGTTCAACAAAAGTTTCTTGGTGAAGTCAGAGTGCCCATACGTTTTCAGGGTGATCCCGATCTGGAAAATAACCTTTTCAGGGACCCGCGGGTCGGGGAATTTGTTGTCGTTGGAATAACATTCGATATCGAAAGCCAATTCCCGTAAAGGGGCAATGTCATCCCGTGCAACGGGACGACATTGGTCAGGAGACACCCAGTATTCGAGCTCACATGAACTGGTGGGGATGGCCGGTCCAGAGCCAGAAAATAGGATTTCTACCCAACCCGCCATCTTAATATCGCGGTCGTGTGCAAATCGAAGTAAGGGTTCGATTTTGGATTCGTAGACACTTGTGCCTACGGGCACTTTCTCGGGATGATATAAATACCAATTCTTGACCTTCTGGAAGGCCCGCAACGTGGTGAATTCGAGTTGGCAGAACGGCACCTCTGCGGCGTTGTCAAACCCCCACATGGATTTACGGTAAACCACGGGCTCTTTCGGTTGTACCAGTTCATCGCCAATATAATGGTACTCGTGGTCCTTGGAAATCCACATCTTTTTGCGGAGTGTTTGGACAAGCTCGTAGTAATCGTGATGTCCGCGGACAAACAAACGTGGGCAATAATCCGCTACCCGCACACAGACACTGCGACCGTCTTGCGTCCTTCCAAAGAGCCAAATCGTGTACCCTGACTCTGTGTCCGAGTCCCACCAAGATATGACTTGGAAGATCATGGTGTGCGGTCGGCGTGATGGTTGGCGGAATGGTGTGTCACGCGGCAAACTTTAATTCCATTTTCGGCTCAACCCGCGGCACCGTTTTAAGCCAACGTGGCCAATTTCCGGGGACCCAGACTTTGTTCATACCACCCGGTATTGCCGTTCATGGCCGCATTTTGTTTTTCATCGTGGTCTGTCGGTTTAAACCATTTCCATGATTCTTTCGCGGGCACGACCGCGAACAAGAGCACCGCAACCAACACTACTATAAGCCCTATCAACCAAGGTTTCATGGGTGGTTTGTTGATAGCGGGACAGAATAAATTGATTTTTCAACGATATTGAATCTCCCGGTTTAGGTGTGCAAACATGTTTATATTATTAGCACGGGTTACATCTTCTACAGTTCATGCCGACTCATGTAATTCAAGCAAGCAACAATTCAACCAGGTCTCGACGTGATAAATGACTTAAGTCACCCAACATGGGGATCAAGGGCCACCGAGACAACATCGTTTCCAAGATGCTCTCCTTATGCGGATACATCTTGACCAGTTCGCATACAGCCTCCGAGTTTTCCTCTTGGAGCCATTCTACCGCGGCTTCTTCGACAGTCTTGCAGTTGCGTTTCAGACTGTCCGCCACAGTAAACCAGGGGTAATCGACTTTAATCAATCTGCCATCACCGAGGTTGACCAAAATACCGCGGACACCAGCTTCTAGGAATTCAGAGACGTCCGCGGCCACGTCAAAATGATTTTCCAGCGGCTTTTCGACGACTTGACACAGTCCCGGGATCACCAAAGGCAAAGGCACATGGGCCCCTGTCAGCAAATGTCGGGCACCGACGAGGTGGGCACGAGGCTCTTGAAGTTCGTGCACAATGGTAGTCGCCGGATGGACCAGCACAAACGAATAGACCCAAAAGCGGTCCAATTGCGGGATCCATGGCTCGATTTGTTGTAAGAGAAGCCCACCCAAAGACTGATCCTTTAAGCCCCAATATGCCTTGGTCGCATCCAACACACGGGGGGTCGCGGTCAACCAATGTCCGCGGTAGTGATATAATCGAATTAGACTGCCATCTTGAGTGTAGGTATAGGTGGCCCCAGGGATGCTACTGTAGTGAGGCAGCATACGGACAAAGTCGCCGAAGGACATGTCGGTCAACGTCGCCACTCCGAAACACACCACATGAAAGGAGGTCTTTTCAAGGATGAGCCCATGACAAGTTTCCACCACCCAATGCCCTTCCTGAGAATCGGCTGTGCGTTGGATGAGAAAGAGCGACGGATGGTCTGGATCCAGTCGATATCGGAGACAATAAGGGGGATGGTGCAGCATCTCTCGGAAAATGGTCTTGTAATTACGATGGTCGTATCCAGAGTAAAAGTCGTTGAAGAGCCTTCGTACATCCATAGCCAGATCCAAGTTTTTATGGGAAGGAGCGTATCCTCAGGTCGGAAATCGTGCCGAAATGTTTTCGCGGGTCTCCCGACCGCCGTAGTCCACAAACAACTTGTCAATGTCCTCCACATAATGCCATTTCGGCAGTCCGCGGGTCCGGCACTTTGATTAATCGGCATGGCGGGCTGTTCGACGTCCACATCAAACACTCTTTTCTCCCCGCGGATTCGATTTCATACCGTCGGTCCATGCTTTTTAATTTGACACCGAACTCCATGGTGCAAAGGGAACAGTAAAGTCCTTTTCCAACATGTCCTGATACACCGAGTCCGGAGTCGCCGGGGGTGGCGTCACCACCGGAGCCAATGTCAACTGACGGGCGCGTCTCCGTTGGTCCAAACCCATCCCAATCAAAATGAGTCCAATCACCACCATCAAAACCTCTATTAACATCTTAGCCGCATATCTCAAAGGCCTTGGAAAAAAGCTCTCTGGCTTCTGGCTGAATGTCCCGCGGAAACACAATATTCCATTTTACCACCAGATGACCTTTCCCACCCAATCCCGCATCAGCAATGCGACACACATCTCCAGGAACCACCACAGAGGTGACCGTCACATCCCGCGTGTCACCTCGTAATGTCGGGATGGTCACCGTCCCACCCAACAAAGCGGTTTGGAGGGGCAAGTCATGTTGAACAATCAAATTCACACCTTCTCGCTTGAAACGCGGGTGTGCTACCGTTCGAAATAAGACATACACCTGACCTTGTCCACCAGGCGAAAAGGTAAAGACATGACCTTCAGGAGTGTCCGCGGGGATGGTAAATTCCAATATCTCCTCCCGCGGAAGAAACTTTCTACCGTCACATTCGCCGCACTTTTGCGACCAATGTTTTCCCTTTCCTTCACATGTGTTGCAAGGCTGTATCATGAACATCAGTGGTCCCATACCCTGAACCTGCGCAAACCCTTTTCCACCACATGGTTCGCATGGCTTGATTTCTCCCACACCGCCTTGTCCTGAACAATGGGAACAGCTGCCATTTCTTGAATACGTCAGCCGAGTGGGTTTTCCGGCATCCAGTTGCTCTAATGTTACTTCGGCCTCGAGATGAATGTCCCGATTGACCGCTCGCGTCATGTTGGCAAACATGGAAGTGAGCAAATCGATGGGATTTCCCGTTGGATTGCAGTCATATTGGTGGCGTCGTTGTGGGTCCGACAAGATTTGGTAAGCATCCGATATTTCCTTGAACTTGGCTTCCAATTCGGCCTTATCGTCGCCATCCCGGGCTTTGTCCGGGTGATATTTTAATGCCAATTTCCGGTACGCCCGTTTGATGTCTTCTCCACTAGCTGAAGGACTCACACCCAAGACTTCATACAAAGTCATGCTTCTTCCATGCTGTGCCAACGGTTTTAAATCCGTACCCATGCGTTCAACGCCGTCAAATACATTATTCTTACGGGCACACCCGCTACCAACGAAGTCACGGCTTGATTCGTCGCAAAGACGGCTCCGGGAGTCAAAATCGTCGACACGTTGTGGGTAGAGCTTATGACCAGCGTGGCGTTGGGCAACGAGGCCAGTTGCAATGTCAATTGCGAATACGGCTGTGGCAAATTTAAAACCAATCCGGAATATCCATTCACATTGATGGTGTCGAGATCATTGGGTGTGGCCACCAAAAAGGTCCCGCCGGATCCAGTCGGTGCATTGATGCTGCCTGACTTACCCACCACCAAATTCCCCACAGAAAGGGTCGCACTCGACGTCGTGTATGTGAAATTCGCATTGGTTTGATATCCCGAGGGACTGTAAAATACAATTCCAGAATCGTTGTAGTTGCCTTGATTGGCCCCCGTAGTGGACCCGGCCATAATGGCCGTATGGACGTATCGTTTGGTCGCCGCATCGTCATCGTCCACCGGATCTCCCACGTGTTTTACGCGGGATCCTCGCAAATCAGCCCCCGATGTCTCCACAAATCCCAGACTGAATGTCAAGTGCTCTTCGGGAACGCCTTTGAGTGACGTGGTCGTCGTCATACTGGTTGGTTGGGTTTATTTGACGTTGAAGTTAATTTTCGATGCACTGTGTCTCGTACAACCTCCATTTGATTCGTTGAATTGACGAAACACAACGCACAAACGCACGCCGCACTTTTTCTGACTCCATCCCGGTAAAGCATGGGTCAACAACACAGTATTCTTTCCCTCGTCAAGAAGGAGCGCGAATCTTATCGCGCTAAAGCGTATCACCGCATCTCTCAACTCTTGGACCATCAAATGTTACACCACCTGCGCCACAACGTTACGAAGGGGTCAATCCGTCTTCCTTACCATTTGCGGCGTCTCTCTGATTCGGAAATCGATCGAATCCACATCAAGTTCAACGAAGCACTGGCTCAACAAGGGGTGGTGTGTCTCAAAAACTTGTCCAGGATTCGAGAGTTCTTGGTGTACGAGTTGGAGGATGTCAGAGACGAGAAGACAGCTCCTGATATGGATGAGGATGAGAATCAGCATCAGGATGCTCTCCCGCAATACGAGAATACACGGCACCAAGTCCAATGGGTGGCTTACGAACCTTTGATCGCCGGCGCGCCATTCCGAGGGGGAGAATAACATTGTCTTGAAATTTTCTTGCAGTAATGGTAGTAACACATGGAAGCCAATAGTCAACTCACCTATTCCGTGGGAGGTTTGATCCTCAATGGACAGGCTTTGACCACAACTGGAGCTGGTCAATTATCGGTAGGAGGTGCCCCCATTGGAAACAGCCCAACCATTATTTGGGTCGACTGCAGCACTCAAGACTTTTCCTATACCCTCAACCCACCCGATGGAAACACTTACTACCTTATCAACAACGAATATTCCAATTCGACGCTCACGCTCATCTTCCCCACTCCCGTCAGCGACGGTCAATTCATCCATATTACCTTGACGGCGGGAGTTCAACAAACCCTTTCCTTCCAGGGAGCCTCGCCAAACGGTCAAGATTACTATCCCAACGGCACTGCCCCGTTGACCTTTGCGTGGGTCGCCTACAATGGGAGCTGGTTTTTGACCAGCTAAACAAATCTTTGCCCTAGTAAAGATTACCATCGCTCATGTTTGAACACGTCTTGGGTGGTCTTGTCTTCACCATCCATATCCTTCTAATCCTCTTTGTCTTGCTCGTTCCCGTATTGACCGTCAGTTGGCCCATCCGAGTGCTGCACTTTACGGTCTGTCTCAGTCTTGCCGTTCATTGGATACTCAACAATGACACCTGTTTCCTGACCTGGCTGGAAGCCCATGTGCAAGAATGGTGGACGGGAAAGCCCTACCCCATGGACAAGAGTTTCATGTATCGCATCATCAACCCCATCTACAAAATCCCTGATCCTGAGGCAAGAATGATCGCATACTATGCTCTACCGGTCTTGACCCTATGGAATCTAGTCCGTTTGTATCTCGAAAGGGACATCATGTTCCACGACCTGAACGCTTATTGGCTCAAGTTCAACCCACAGTAATTGGTCGGGCTCGCTCGAAAGTCAACGTGCTTGTACAACCCTGCCTTGATAGCCTGGGCTGTGAAGAAGCGGAATATTCGTTTAAATTCTTCGGTATGTCCCGCCGACACACAGGCCAGATGCGCCATTTCATGAAGAGACACGTAGAAGAGTAAATTCACATCATACACCTGTTCCGCGGAATCCCGCGTACGTAAACAATAATGAATTTCTTCCTTGTTCAACGAGTAACTGGTCGAGCCCGGTTCCGCCACCGCTTCTTGAATTCGTTCCGGGCTATACCGCTGCGACAGACGGTCGATGGCATATTGGAAATCAGGATACAGCGAACGCTGCTCCATGATATATTGAATAAAGGCCGTATTCCTGTCATTCAACCGAGCTAAGGTGTCGGCCGCCTCTTGGTCGGTTTTCCCCGTCTTGCGCACCCGATACGCCCGTTGGTCTATTTCAGACGTCACCGCATATGTGTCCGCTGAAGTCATGGCATAAATCGTACCACTTAACGAGGACATCACCATCAGCAACGCCAGCCAGTACAACATTTACTCGATCACCGATAAAAATTTTCGACGGCTGGAGTCAATATGAAGTTCTGGGTCTATTGGGAGGGCTCGCAGCCCGGATACATTGCACTTTGCCTTGACATTATGAAATCCAAACTCCGGGACCGATTGGTGCTGTTGAATCGCACCACCCTACGAGACTGGTTGAAAGATTTTCCACACCTAGACCACCTCCCCATGTGTCAACAAGTGGATTACCTACGAGTGGCCTTGTTGGCCGAATACGGTGGTTGCTATCTTGACGCCGACACCTTGTTAATGCAAGACCCACAATGCATCCTAGACAAATTGAATGACTACGATTTCGTCGGGTTTGGCAGTTCGGACCCGATTTGCACCACCTCCGGGTTTCCGCGGCCGTCCAATTGGGTTATGGCATCCCGACCCCAGGGTCAATTCATTACCGCACTTCTCCACGAACTCCAAGACCGTTTACGACGCCAACGACACTTTGACTACTTTGAACTGGGGAAACTCGCCATGTGGCACGTCCTGCAATCCCATCCTTTTGTTTATTACCATTTTCCTTGCACCGCGGATGGTACGCGGGATATCCACGGTCAATGGATTTCCACCAAGCAGCATTTGCAACTCACCCCCACCGAATTCTTGGACCCGCAGAAAATTATATTGGTGGCTCTTGAAAATCATGTTTTAAAGTCCACCGACTATGCCGCATTGACTCGCCATCAAATCCTTTTTCAAGACCCGCGGTGGCTCTCCCAGCTGTTCCGACGTGCCGTGGGCTTAACTGAAAAGGCACTGGGATGTTCCGAATGGAATGTCTTTGATGCCCATGCATGTCGGCAAAAATTACGGGACTCAATAAATGCCATTTGACAATACCGCGGCCACACTGATATTACTGCTGGGGATGATTTTGTTGTGCAGTCTTTTCAATGTGGGATTGGCCTACTGGCTGGATGTTCAAATCACCAAGCCGGCACCTTCACCGACTCCACCGGTTTCCGTCCCGGTTCCGGCACCACCGATTCCGGCACCGATTCCGGCACCGATTCCGGCACCGATTCCGGCACCGATTCCGGCACCGATTCCAGTTCCCGCAACACCCATTCCTCCACCCGCTCCCGCTCCCGCACCAACGGTGTCGTTCTTTCCCAGTATTGGCGGATCCTGTGCCAATGCTCAGCGTACCAAAGCACTGACGGGTGAATTGCAAGGGGTCACACTTGCCTGGGGAACTGGAAGCATGTGTGACTCCAAGACTGTGCCGTCGGTCTGCATTAATGGTCAAGTGGTAGGATGCGGGTCGGCCTATTTGACCGATGCGATGCAAGGCAGTGTTTATGGCACCTATGCGCCCGACGGCACTTTTATTTCAAATTGGTACCCCTGCAACGGGTTTGTCTTTGACGCCAACCAAAAGAAATGTGTGCACCCCTTCACCGGTCAAGCTTTACCGTACGGCCAGCGCTATCAGAGCAATGGACCGGATTGCATTTTTGGACACAATCCCGACGGGAGCTGTAATTGCAATTCAGGCCCTAACGGGTTTCCCGGACAATCCTATATTGGTCAAGTCGATGGAGATGGTCATTGTTGTGATGCCTCTTGGAACTGCTACGATAGTCTTACCGGATGGAACGAATACATGAATCAATCCCCATACGGCGCTTGAACGCGACTGTAAATAAGTCGCTGACCGTCAACAAGATGGCCTTTGTTCGCATCTCCGGCTTATGTCAGCAACATCCTCACGATCCCCGTCTCTGTGTCTGTGATTCTGCTGCCCATCACAAATGTTGCGTGGATCCGGGACTGTTCAGAAATGTCCCGGAACTGAAATCGAAACAAGAGTGGTTAAAGTTGTCGCATCTACCTGAAGGATTGCGGTTCGAAATAGAACAACACCCAAGTCAGCGCGTGTGGGTTACGGGCATGTGCGAATGTGTCCCGTCGGGACGATGTCATTCTGGAACCATCCTAGGTTGCCCGCATCCACACCACTTTAACCGTAACAATCAATGGGTTTGCGGGAGTCAAGAAATCGAAGCTTTATCCATCGATTACCGAATCCCACGGCTTGGTGATTCCAAGGCTTATACCGGGTAAGTCCACATAAAACTCCGTATTCATGTACACTTTGGGTTGAGCTTCCGTGATGCACTTCACCACATATAGGGGTCGAACAGCATAGTCGTATTCATCATTGCTGAAAACAGTCAACCGGCGGTCTGGAGCCGTGATCGCACGAGACATCAGCTCGTAACTTTGTTCAAAGGACATTCCACCCCAATTGGTACACATCATGGGACAGTACACTGTCTCCACACCTCTCCTTTGACACAGAGACAATCCAGCCGACAAAGCATAATACGGGTTGTCCGTGTTGGAAACATTTTGCGGCAAAAACATGGTGGGACACGAGACAAAATAGAAGGATCCCGCGTAAAATCCCATGGCATCACCTATGCGGAGATAAGGCCGTTGCAAATGGGTCTGGCACCCAAGATGTCGAATCCCGCGCTGCACCATTTCCTGAATGCCAGGAATAGCTTTCATGTAACCCAAGTCGGACCCTCCGTCCATGAAACCCAAACTGTTGGCTGACGACACAAACGCCACTGATTCACCATGCTCCTGCGCTACCAGTGCTTCGACCGACGTATGAAGAACACGATCGTCTCCAAAGTCTTTCTTGTCAAACACCTTCACAATCATCTTCCTACCTTTCACATCACACCGTAAAAAATGATTCGAGGTTGCGTGCGTTCCGTCAAACCACCATGGATTCCATTCGATCTAATTTTCGTCGACTGATGGTGGAGAAATGTCGGTTGTCGCCCGAGTTTTCCAGCAATGTGGATCGCGCAGTGTGGAATTGGACGATCGATTACTTTGGTTGCACCATGTGTGCTTACGATGAACGCTTTCGACAAAGGTACATGTCGAAAGCCAGGATGCTGTTGTGCAACTTTAGCCTACCTGCTGTCAATCT